GAATTAGCCAAACCAAAGTATTGTTTTTTCAAAACCTTTTTTTTTTTAAAAGTTCTTGTTGTAAAATAAAGAATTGGATGTACATGTGGATGGGGCCCCTCATCTTGGAGGCCAAGTAGATTACTGTACAGCAGGGGAAATGGTCTTTAACGAAGGGAAATATGGTCGTTAAAGGTCCAAATCCGGTTGCTACAAGTCATTAACGACCGTAATAAATCCAGTCATCACCAGACGTTAAAAGTTAACGACCAAATTAACAGCCGGTCGTTAAAAGTTTTTTTAACGACCAGATTTGCCCTTAGTACAAGTACTTTTAACGACCAAATGTTCTTTCGTTAATTATATTCTAATTTCAATACCAATACTATTAGCGACCTCATTTCCTGTCGCTAATTGTTGTTTATTCAAAAATTTTAAGAAGCCAATTATAAAAGAGTTTAAAAGAACCAATTTCATTTGTTGTTTTACAAAATTTTATACGATGAATACAGAAACACTCAAAATAAACTAAATAATTTAATTCATTATATAAAATTTCATGGTCAATACAAAGAACTAATTAAAGAAAGATATATCATATTCAAGTAGCATAATATATCTTTATCAACTCCTAAAAAAGAAAAAAATTGCAAAAAGTAAATAATAAGACATTGTCTTTAATTTAAACCACCCGTAACTAAAGTAAAATCCCTAGCTCTTGAATTCAACTTGCTCCGTACATTGTTGAACGATATATTATTCATATTCAAATGCTTGATCTGTAAGAAAAAAACTTATGTCAATTTAAAAACAAAGAATAAACTCTTAAAGAAGAACCATAAAATCTCAAAAATATTTACTAAAAAAGATGCAAAACATTAAAGTTTGAAAGAAAAGAAGGCACGTCAACAATAACTTGTAGTCTCGTCCCGACATATATTATCTATTTAACGATTTTTTGTAATGATCAACAATTAGTTCGTAAGGCCAACAAAATAAAACATAATAACAAGGGACTAGTATAACTCCTTCCTGCTTTGGATGACAAGGAGGAGGATCAAGAAGTTTCAAATATAATGGAGAGTACATACATGAATTAAAGCTATTTGAACCTTGCAAACTTTGGATGAGTCATCTTTTGGGAAGCAGACTGCCTGTTCAATATAGAAATCACACAAGAAAAAGTATGACAGCCATCAGACCAAAATAGAGAGCACATTCGAGGCACCAACTTATTTTTTTTCTAAGACGGAGGCATAATATGTTTTCTGTTTGCTACAGTAACATCTCTAATATGAAGGAAGCAGAACATGAAAAGATTCCAGAGTTTCCAATATCAAGAGTCGAAGGTAGCAAGAGAGATAGTTGTGCACATGCAAATTAAGATATGCTCAACCACATTCCCTGAGGACATTCACGAAAAGACATCTGAAGCTCAAGCACACTAGATAACTTAGCAAATTGTAGTAGGCAAATATCGATAATCAAATTGTAATAGAAAGAGAATCTATACTCAGTACCTAATTAAGACTGTTTGTTGTTTTGGATGGGTCAGGCGGCCTGTTTGATTCGATGTTAAACTGCTGGATGCTGTAGTTCACCAGACTGAGCTCACCAATTTCACTAGAACTACTATTTAGTATTTACTTGTGTCATCTTTAAACAAACCCAACTTCATGAACTACCTTTTGACTTTGAGTTAAGCACAAAGCACATTTTTTAGATTCATTACACTTGAATAAGGAAAACCATATAGAGTACTCTACACCATATCTAAGGATATTTTGCATTTAATTAATTATTAACTTTACTTATTTGTAGACAAAATGATTGCCCACCTTATCATACATCACATAAAACTTCCTCTATAAGGAGGCAATCTTGTACATTGTGAGTTAATCAAGTCAGGAAGAAGTTTTCTCTTCTAATTTCTAAGTTTTTATGTTTGTTGTTCCAGAGAACAGAATAAAAAGATGTTACACAAAGAATCAAAATCAAATGCTTGAAATGGAGTGCTACCAGTTTTATGTGATAGAACAATGTGTAGCGAAGTGAAAGGTAAGTTCTATAGAATATTTATTAAGACCACCAATGTTATATGGAAGTGAATGTTAAGCCATTAAAGTACAAGACATCCCCAATTATAAGACCAACAATGCTATATGGAAGTGAATGTTTTGCTCCACATGGGAATATAGTGTTCTGTTTCTAAGCAAATTCACTAATTAAGATGAAACAGGAAAATGACATGGAAGTTCCTTTACACTAACAGAGAGGCCCTAAAATTCCATTACATTGGAGAAAGTGTGAGCAACAAAGGGATAGGAGAAGTACGAGAAATTGAAGTTTTCTTATTTTGTTCAATTTTAGGGAAAGAATAAAAGGATAAGGAAGAAAAGCTTAAACATACTTAAAATTTGCCAATGACCAAATTACATACTAAGGACAGAACACAAAATAAAAGCATTGCTTATGTTTCTTCAAAGAATCTAAATACAAGATAATGTGTGCTTTTAAAACAAGCACCAAGGACTATTATCTATTTCCTTCCTTCCTTCCAACTTCATTTGCAAGCACTATTTCTATCAGACCAAATGGTCCAGAAAATACATAAATAGATAGGCCTCCAAAACTGTTTCTGGAGGTTTACAACCTCCTGCCCATTTCAACTTTCCAGTATATTTATAAAATCAGAAGGCATTAGCCAAACTACATCACATTTATAACTTCTAAAATCTATAGCTTTTAAGTTAATAAAAACATAAATGATCACAAAAGCATCTTTAAAATGGAAATACAATTGAAAAGGAACATAAAGGCAGCATTATGCCATGACTTATAAATAAAGGTTGCATCTGTATAGAATATGCCATGCCACTAGGAATAGAGACCAACTTTGTAGAAACTACGGCTTTGAAGACTGGAATCCATTCACTGGAGTGGAATTGTGATTCACTCGTTTGGTTGAACTAATTTCTAAACAATAGCATCATTCCTTAAAAGTTACACTATATTTTCAAAAACACGAGAGATGCTGAAAAGATTTGATAATATGACTTTGAAGAAAGGACTCACGTCACTAGATTGGAATGGTGTTGTACTAATAGGGTGAGGAAAGTTGAAATTTGATGTGATTCACTCCTTTTACAAACAAAGGTATCACTCCTTGGAAGTTACACTATATGTCAGGTGGTTGAGCCTTGGTGTTTGAGGATGGGTATTCAGGTAAGTACTAATGTCAAGAAACACTCTTTACTTATCGAAAATTCAAAGAAATTATCTATCTATGAAGAAACAAATCCAGCAAGAGAAGTTGTTTATAGGGATATTTTCATTTAAAGTTGCTAATATGATGTCTAAGATTATTCATCTTCATAAATCTTTAACCGACTCTCAGATTCTTAAGCTTAAAAATGAGATCTTTAAGTCTATAGAAGTAAAGGCTTTAGTTTCTGATAATGAAGATAAGTTTCTTGAATTAGTACTTGTTGAAAAACTTGATGATTTGAATAGGGTTGCTAGTGTAGTGTCTAGGCTTGGGAAAATGTACAATTTCTGCCTTACAAGGGTTTCAGCATGCTTATGGGGATGTTATTTCTGGGGTTATTGATGTGAAGGATTTGGGATTTTTTGTTAAAGATGTGGAGGGGATGGTTAGGAAAATGGAGAGATATGTGCATTCTACAGCTAGTTTGTATGGTGAGATGGTTGTTTTGAATGAATTGGAAGTGGCAACAATGAAATTTCAGCATAATCAACATGAGGAAAGTAGAAAGGCATTTGAGCAGAAATTGGCTTGGCAAAAACAAGATGTGAGGCATTTAGAAGATGTTTCACTTAGGAATCAGACTTATGATAAAGTTGTTGAACTTTTGGCCAAGACTGTGTGTACTGTATATGCTCGGATTAGTACGGTGTTTGGTAATAATGTTCTCGTAAAGATGGATCTTTTAGGTAATCAAGGATTCAATGAGAAGTCCAGTGTAATTGTTGCAGATAGCAAGTCTGAAGTCATGGATGCTGATTTCAAAAAGCCTGTTTTGAGGAACAACAATGGAAGCTATCGATCGGGGTCAATTGAGAGAGGGGCGTCGGGGAAAAGGAGCATGATCCATAGTACTCAAACTAAGGTTGGAAGAAATGAAGGGAGATTATTTGATACTGAGAATTTTAATTTTGCTTTTGGAATGGGACCTAAGAGACTATTCATGGAATGTCCAAGCTTGAGTTCTGCTTCGAAAATGGATTTTGACAATGATGTTGGGACTGATGACAGAAGTAGTCAGATATCTGAATGTTTTAGTGTTTCAAGTGGTATGAAGAGGGACGAATCTAGCGTTTAGGGTTCATTCAACATAAGAGAAAGGCTCAACAAATTACTGTGGATAAAGCTCCACCATAGCACAAAACAGAAATGGAAAAAACTAGGCTATTCTACTAAGATGAGCAGTTAATGATTGGGAAATGCACAACTTGATGGAACTGCTAGCAGAAATGGAAAAATACAAAAAATGATGAGACCAAAACAGATACTATCTTTTGGGAAAGCAATAGCATATTCACTATGAAAGAATGCGACAGGCAGCTTGGTACTAGAAAAAGAGGTGTTACTTGTATATATGCTGAAATACACAGACAGCCAGCATGATCATTTAGATAAAGCTGCCATCTATTGAAAGATGGTACCATTAGCAACCTCCTAATAACATAGATGTCATATAGGAACACTACACCTAAAACATAAAAACATAGGGTATGCTTGTCCAAATAACCAGATGAAGAGTAAAACTTAGAAGAAAGGATTAAAATACAGCATTCACTATGTAATGGCACTTGATTTTGCACTCTACCAGAGGCAATTAGGATGTTGATGCTTGGAATCAATTGTACATGGTAAATAGCCAGCAGGTTATAACAACAAACTAAGGAAAAAAATTGAGCAGTCAAAGTCCTTCCATGTCTCTTGAGTACATCATAAAGAGAAAGAAAAATCGATTTACTAACCTGTTTAATGGTACCATCTATTGATCACTTGAAGACGCAGGTGTTGAAGGCTGACCAACCAGTACTCTTGCAAGTTGTTCATGTTTACTCTCCAACTCATCCATGCGTTCACATTTATTCTCTAACTCATCCATGCGTCTTTTTAGTGATTCATTTTCTTTTTCACGTGCATTCAATTTATCTAATAATGCAGCCTTTGAAGAGTTCCCACCTTTCAACTCTTTAGCCGTTATCCCGCCACCAAATCCAATTACATGACTCTTACATTGAGGTCCAAAACACTTTTCTACGACCTCAATATTTGTAAGAGAAGAATCAGATTGAACCAATTTTTGGATTTCAGCCTATAAAATACAAGAACACTTAAAATAATACAACACATAAAGTTGAATGATTTAAAATAAAATTTATCACTAAACATACATATTTTGCATTTGTTTCAGGTTCGACAAGCTTGTTATCCTTCTTACGAGTCTCGAAGAAGATAGTATCCATGTTTGGTGGCTTACCATCTTTACCTCCCTTAACATATAAATAAACAAGTCAAATAAATCATTTTAGCAAACAAGAGACTTCTTAAAGAGTTACAAAACTTACTTACCAATTCATAAATCATTTCTCTAATAGGCTTACTCCCCGTACGATGAGGCATACTCAACTTAGACCTGTTGACAATGTTTCTTGTACTTGTTTCCTATATTCACAACATACCATAAAAATTATAGTTAGTCGCTTCAAATAACATGTTAATAAATAAATACGATGGAGTTGTACCTTAAACTTGTCACTTAAGAAATGCTCCTTAACCAGCCATTCCCAATCACTCTTATCTACCCCTCTTGGAACATCTTTTAGAGCATCACAAAATGGCTTAGACTTCATATTCTTATGAAGTGATCCTCTCCAGTTATTCCACAACCTTCTCATAGGTTGAAGGACATGTTCTTTCTTAGCATTCATGTCGTCACAGCTAAATTTATCCTACAATATTTCACATGTACCATTAAACATAAACTCAAATTTTCAGCCAAACTAGAAGTCAATTGAATCTATATTTCTTGCTTATGGCACTCTTCCAGTGGAAGGTGATATATATGTCATGAGAAATGAGTGATTATCCAGAGGATTGTATCAAGAGAAAGAAGGAAAAACATACGAGAGATCAAGAGAGCAGATAACACAAACTACAACAGCAACATATAGGTTATTAGGAAAACATAACTATAACATTACATAGATACTGTTTGGCATAAAATGTGCCATGTTATTTTTGCTCTTTCATGATGAGAAGTCAGCAATGAAGCTATTAGCTATAGCTCTCTAAATAATTATCATAACATCCCACATGTTTGGTATAAAATGTGTTGTGTTAGTGTTACTTTTTCCAGATGAGAAGTCAGAAATGAAGCTATAACCTAATAGCTCTGTAAATACCTACCTTAACAGCATCTCAAAGGTTTGGCATAAAATGTGTCGTGCTAGTTTTACTTTTTCCAGATGAGAAGTCAAAACTGATGTTATCAGCTAATAGCACTCTAAATGCATACCTTAATAGCATCCCACATGTTTTGCATAATTATAGCTCATTAATTTTCCTTTTTAGATATGAGAAGTCAGATATTAATTTAATAACTCTATAAATACTTACAGTAACAGCATCCCACATGTGTTCTAGCTGATCTTCTTTAATGTCTGTCCATGAGTGTACCCGTAATGGGCACATATTACGATCACGAATTAAAATACCCAAGTGTCTCACAAATGAGGCATAATTTTTTACAACAACTCAATTTTGGTAAAAAGTGATCTTTAACTTTTCTCCAGGTTTGAGTCGTGCAACATTTTTACAAATGTTTGTTCCTCCAACTTTTTTTGCATTTTCTGACTCACATGCACCTGCAAATTAATTCAGATCGGACATAAAGAAGAGTTTCATCACACCAAAAACAACAAAAAAAATATAGTTTGAGACAGTAATACTTATTTCATTTGTTTGAGCATCTTGCATCAGTTCGACTTCTGGAGAGCAGGGAACAATATCTTCTGTTGGATCAAAACCAAGAGGTACAGGAACAATATTTTGTACTGGATCATTTCGATAAGATGTTGATGGATTGATGTTTAGACTTTTGTTGATTGGAGTTCTTTTTTCAACCCTTACTCTTACAGAGCCCAAAGATCGTAAGCTTTTCCCACGTCCCCTAATTGCTAAAGAACCAGGTGGAAGGTATGCAAGTTTATTAGGCTTGATAGTTGATTTCATTCCAGAGTTTTGAATTTTTGATGGATCCATGTAAGCCTAATACAAAAATCACTTCTTTGTTAGTTCATCCAATAAGAGAAAAGTCATTGAACAAGTTTTCAATACTACATCCCTTTCTTTATTTGAAAAGTAAAAGTATTTTATTTATCAAAGAAATTAAACTGTACAAAGACTGTGTAGGTACAACTACCCAAAAAAGTGAGCATCAAAGGAGCACAACCACTTAAGACTAGCTTCTGGAATGAAAAATGACATGAAGTTGACATTTCGTAAGTGGTTAATTTCCAGATATCTACAACCTAACTAATCTTCATCTCAAAACAGTGACTGTAATGACCCGTAAGGTCATTCTGAGAACTAGTCCTCTCTCTTTCACGAAATACCCTTTTCGTAAATTTAAATAGAAATTTTAATTACTCTCTTTTAGTTACAATTATATAATTAAAGGGATAATTTTTAAGTAGTTTATTTAATTTGTGGTTAATGGGTCAAACCCATGATTTAGTTAATAAAACTGAATTAAATTAAAGGGAGGTTATTATTATTTTATCCCAATACAATTAGTTGCGGCTGAAACTATCGTGTGAGAGAACTCAACTTTGACGCCGACAGAATTGATAAAAAACTTCTCCAGGTAAAAAGCTTAATCAATCTTCAATATTACTTTTACATATACTAATTGATTGAGGGAGGAGAGAATTGATATCATTAATTTATAGTTGAATAGAGATTTGAAATTGGAAAAAAATGGGTTTCTGTGCAACAGGGGGTTATTGAATTGGGTATGCTAAATTGTTAAGTAATTATCTCTTGTAATAATTATAAAATAATGTAGATGTAGAAATTTATTATTATATGTTTGATTGAGGGTAATGGGGTTACACCGGTTGCATAATTGTGAACGAGTACATTTTTGTCGTTTTCCCCTTCTTTTGCTATTGTTGATGTTATTAAAAAGTTGGAGACAAATTCCATGGTTGATGATCGAGTAATTACTCTTAGGATTATAGGATAACGATTGGAAGAGCATGATGGGTGGTATTGGATAAATGACAAAAGATTTTACTTGTGCATAATATTCTATAGTTACGGGTCTAGATACATGATAGTTGGTATATATTCATCTTTCGTGGTTGAATTTTTATTATACAATATCATATCACGATTCAAGTTTTATATATATTGAGATAAGAAATTAAATATTAAGGACATTGTATCATATAAATATCATTAGAGTTGTGGAATTGGAGAATGGAAACTTAACCCTAGACTTGAAATTTGGAAGTATGAGGGTTGACATGATAATTGACATCAAAATTTAGGAACTTGATTTTAGGTTTGTGTAAGTTTTTGGGTCTAGGCTAGACCTATAGTAATATGGTTGTTGTTAGTTTGAAAATTGATTGTGATTAATTATTTGAATAGATTGCATTGATTTGGAAGCCTAACGAAAAGGGAAGACTCAAGAGTCGGAGTGATTGTTCGATGATTCGAGGCAAGTGGATTTCTAAACCCTTGTTAAGTGTATGGAATTCATGTATTTCCTTGTAATATGTGTTTAGGGTAATGAGGCTTGGTGATGGATTGACTTGTCCACATATTCTAATGATGAAAAAGAGATAATAAAAGGCAATGTGATCAATTGTTTGTGTGATGTGTTGAGAATTGTTTGAAAGGCTTGTTGAATCATTGTTGATGTTGTATCCTGATTGTCTTGTTGTGAATTGTGCAATGTTATGAAAATGGTCATCTCGTCATTATTTGTGTGAACATGTCATTTGCATTGTTCTGAGACATGGTTGTGACCAAGTGTTATGTGCATTGAGAAAGAATAAGAAAATAAAGAGGATGTACCATTTCGAGGGACGTATCGCGCGCCGCGATGGATACTATATTTCGAGGGACGTGTCGCGCGCCGCGACGGATACTATATTTTGAGGGACGTATCGCGCGCCGCGATGGTTACTATTATCGAGGGTCGTATCGCGCGCCGCGATGGATGCATGGACAGATATGTCCCCCATGGATCCCGAACTGAGAGACAGCGGGTGTGTATCATTAGGTCAGACATGCATCACTATACTTGACATTGCATTGCACTTCTTTATTATTGGTGAACTTGATCTTGTGTGTTGCTGATCTTGTGAGTGCCTTTCTATAGAACTTGTGACTGATGAATATTGAGCTTGTTGTTGAAGATATGCAATTGTTAGAGTGTTGTTGTTGAGGATATGAAACTATTGTTGTTGTTGAGGATATGAAATTGTTAGAGTGTTGTGTTGAGCTATGTGCTTTGTAAACTGTGAACTGTTATGTTGGGCTGGTACTAAGCAGGTTATAGTTGTGGAGGTGGTAATTGATGAACTTGTTGTTGAGAATATATGGTTGTTAGAATGTTGTTGTTAAGATATGTGCTTGTAAATTGTGAAATGTTAGGTTGGGTTGGTTTTTTTACAGATTGTAGTTGTGAAGGTTCGGTTGGGGTGTAAGGAGTACTTGTATTCTATCCCCTTGGCTCGTGTTTAGAGGTTTACTTGCTGAGTACCGTGTGGTTTGGTACTCATCCCTTGCTTCTACAAATTTTTGTAGGTTACGAGCCTGGATTTTTGTGGTACTTGTTATTCTCTTCTTTTTCGAGGCTTCTGGGAGATTTGTGAGGTAGTTGTTTGTCTTCTCAGCGATCCTTCTTACTCCTGTTTATGATCTTGTTCTACTCTAGAAACAATGTCATATGAGACTTGTATTTTTCTTTTGATTCAATTGTAATACTGTAGAGGCTTGTACACGTGACAACCAGATTTTGGGGGTATATTTGAGTTTATTATAAAAATTTCCGCATTTTATTGTAATGGTTGAGTTTTAGGCTGACTTGTCTTGGTGGGTTAAGACGAGTGCCATCACGTCTATTTTTGGGTCGTGACAGTGACAGGGATGTGGTCAGCCCAGGAATAGAATATCAGTTTCAGAAGATGGATATTATGAAAGAAGCTTTGACAAAGAGAAACAATTAATTACAAGTCACTCAGAATCTGCGAATAAAATTCCAACAAGCTTCAAAGTTTTGAAGCACAATTTACATGTAAATAAAGAATATTACGTTACTACTAATAAATAGTCCATTTGTAAGCACCGACCAAAGAATCATGAAGAAAAATACTCGAATACAGAAACTATAACATCAAGAGTACTTTTAGGATCAAATTCAATACCATAGTAATAAAATGAGAACTCAGAAATAAAACATGAACTCAACAAGGAAAGGGAATGCTCTCAGGCGCTCTTCCCAAAAACTCTCTCTCTCCTACGTCCTAGGAGAGAGAGAACCCTCTTTCCGGTAGGTCACCTGAGAACTGCCTTCCTAACCTTCTCCTTCCTCTATATCCGGTGATCCCTTCCGATCATTGGAACACCTTCTCGTTTCTTCTCTCTCTCTCTCTCTTTTCTCTTTCTCTTTCTCTTTCTCTCTCTTTCTTTCCTTTCTCTTTCATCCTTAGCCAAGCATTAGATGGAAGACATCATTTATTTCGCGGTGGGATTCAAATCATACGATATTGCAAGAACCTTAGGTTCAACAGGAGATTGGTATGACTGGACAGAAAGAAACAGGAAGTCCGTGACGAGAACAACATTCAATGGCAAAGATATGGAATGGATTTCTTGGACCTTGCGAGAAGCTTCCAAATCGAAGGGGAACTCAGTTAGAAGATGGAAGAAAAAAGATGCATTTTCAGAAATCTATTGCGCCAGGAATTTTAACAAGTTTGGCAGATATATAAGCTTGATCATCATTATACCGGAGCTAAATTTTAACTCAGGTTGGACAGGAATTGCAGAGAAAGTTGGGAGATTCATTAGTAGTCACAAACGTGGGGGGAACTTAGAGAAGCATAGACTGGTTGACAACAACATTTCCTATGCGAATATGCTAAGGAGCACTAAATGGGGGAATGAGGGGAGGAAAAACACGCAAACAGTGAACATGGTTAAAAGGGGGGACAAAATCTGCATTTATGAGGACTTAAATTCCCAGAGTGATGTATTAAAGAAGAGTTTGGTGGGAAAATTTATGGTTAGTAAAGGTGAGACTCCAAATCTTACAGAGGTCAGGAAATGGGCAAATAATCTCTGGAAGCAGACTCATGGTCTCAATATTTACGAAATGGGGGAGGGAATTTTCCTATTCGAATTTGCATCCAAAACCACTGCAGAACAAGTGGTAGAAGGTGACTGGGTGTGGAAGAATTCTCCGGTCAAAATGCAGTGGTGGAGTCCGACAATAGGTACATCGGCAGATTATGACCGTCCCAAATCCACTTGGGTTAGAGTGGTAGGCCTGCCGTTGCATCTTTGGGCACAAAAAACATTCAAAGCCATCGGTGATTTTTGTGGAGGATGGGTCGAAACGGAAGAGGAGACTCACCTCCGAAACCATCTCAAATGGGCGAGAATCAAAATTAATG